TGTGTAATCACCCCTGCCACCATCGTTGGTCTTGGTGTTAGTGTCTTGGTATCGCTGTAATTTAGACCACAACAATCAATATAGACACACCAGTATGATTTGTTTTCTGGGCTATATCGGTTGTAACCGGTGTTAACGGTGTTACTGGTAAATTATTTCATTACGGTTGCATTAAAAGGTAGCCTCTTTATTATTAATTAATTAATAGTTATACGCTAACCGATTTTGTTAAGCAGAAGCTTTCAGGCTAGCGTTAGAGCTATTTTTGCTGCCCCGTACCAGACAGATTCGCGTATGACAAACGCGGTTGTTACGACCCTGTGGTTTAATTGTGTGTGAGTTAAAGAATCAATTCTGTATAAATCTTTTTATTTTATTTTATTCTGCAGCAGCAAACCAAGCAAATCAGACTTTCCTATAAATCTGCTCCAACTGCAATAGAGACTGTCACTCGCACACTGGCCTGCACAGCCATAACAAACGATGCCTAAACCCCAGAAATAAACAACACTCCAAGGGTGCTAATCAGATGGTCTTCCGAGACCAAGCTGCCAATGATGATGATGATTTCATTAAATGTAGTTATTAATATGATTATATTAATATCAGTATAATATGTTGTTAAAAACATCGTGTTTACTTGAGTCGTAAATGTGACTCATGTGAGCACGTGTTGTGTATGATGGCAAATTCATTACAAGTAAACATTCATGAAAAGCTATGAAAACGATCGGCTTATACTTGCTCAGGCTTTCCTAATGTCCAGATGTATTACGAAATTGCATGCGTCCTTCGTTTATATGCTGAGGTATTTTGTAAGACGTTCAGAGTCATTTCAGTCAAAGTCGGAGTTTATTGTAACATCTTATAATTACACAACTTCTATCACCTTAAGAAAAGTATTTTTGTGCTAGAAGTTTTCTGTTCGTATGTCTACGTAGAACATCATGTATTTTGTTAGTGGAGCTAATTGTACTTCGTTTTTCTGAATAATTGTTTTCCTGGAGAACAACATTACTGGTTTGGACAAAGAAATTTTTCGAAAATATTATAAATTGGAACGGAACAATACAAAATGTACTTTATTGTGTACATTCTGAATTTTTTAGCTAGCCTTCGTCTGACGTCATCATTCGCCATTTTGAACAACCGGAACTGAACTTCAGACTGTGCTTATTTAGAACTTTTTTTACTTTACTTTTTACTTTAGAACAACCAATTTGGATCGTTTCCGTCAATCGTAAGTCTTGTTTTACATATTTATATTCTTCATATTTTCTAGGAAAATAAACTATTTTGGTTAAAATTTACTAAGCTTGTTGTCTTCACTCTTTTTTTGTGTAACTTTGAACGAGCCGTTATGTAACACGGTAAAGTAGTATAATCATAGTATATATTTGCTTACGAAATCAGCAATAATGATACTATTCTAGACAATGAAATTTCATTTCTCTATTCCAGGGATGGGCAATGTTAGTTCACTTTGTACAAATTCTGATGCATTTCCCCAGTTCTCTAAAGCAGTCATTTTCATCTTAAGACAGCATTTGGTGTCCTTAACTGTAATTTAAAAAAAATAATCATCAGTCCAAGTAAATCAAATACATGTTCATATTCTCTAAATTGTGCGAGTTGTAGAGCAAACAATTTGACTCCATGCAGTGTACAAGTGCAACAGTGCTTACAACTCCGTATAGGATCCAAATTCGCATTTGTTGTAAAGCATAATTGTAAGAATGTATATAACTGGTTAATTTCAAATAACATCACCCACGACAAATGTGTGTTTATCTCTCACGTAGCATAAACCGCAACCCGAACTGTGAAAATCTTACTGCCATCAGGAAGACACTAGTTATTAATTATTTCCATGGTACAGAATTAAAAATGTATGCAAATAAATCAAATTTACTAAATATTTACTGTATCTTTGATGGGAACAATTAATTACGACCCAGAATAGTTTTATATGACAAACGATTGTTTCTTTCTTATATTCATGATTTAACATTTATTCAGTTCTAAATATTTGTTTTGCTTTTTGTAATTGTTGTAATTAAACGTACTTTCCGTTCTTTCGTCTTTTAAAACCTTTATTGTAAACACAATTTGGATTGTATACAAACTACTTATCATTTAAACAATTTTTCACCTCAGTTTGAGATATATCCATTTTAAAATGGTGATTGCTTTCGCAAAATTCTTACCGCATCACTTATTTGGTAGGTAGGGTTTCTTCTTCTTTCAAAAGTAGAATCATCATGCATATTCATATAAATACATTTTTTAATTTTTATTAGTCTTTCAAGGCGTCATTGTTATGCTACTGTGCATGGTGTTGCTATATTTATCTATTTTTGCAAGATTTTCCATAGTATATTTTTTAATTGTTCTGTTTAATCTTTCAACATCAACAACTTTGCCTTTGTTGTAAGTGTGACATTTCAATATTTTTATTCAGCCTTTTCTAAAAAATGTGGTTACATAATTCATTACTCTGTTTAACCAGTGATATATCAGGCTTCCTTGTGCTTACGGTTGTTTTAAATGCACCGGTTTTATCATTCACAGTTTTCGTATTATTGTTTGGCATGTTCCATGCTTATTTACCGAGTCTGCCAGGAACGTTTAGCAAATATTTTTTACCCTTTATACAGTTACTATTATTTTCATATTAGCTAGATCAGCCCGCCAAATAAAATATATTTAAGCAGTTTTAACACGGTGTTGCTGGAACATCCTGGTAATTGCTTATGCAACACCAACACAGCTGACTAGTCCATTTCTGTTTGCTCAACACCTTATTCTTGATTTTTTTCGCTAATCTCCAAATATATGTTTGAATCGTATTACTGTTTCGTCGACAGTTTTTCAATGTTATCTGAGATTGTTTTTCAAATATGCTGATTGGACAACATCTATCTCAGAATTTTTGTCATGAGGGTTTCATAACAAAAACGATAAACTCAATTCGAATTCAAAGTACAAAACCTTTTATTATTATATTAAATACAATAATTTCTTCCTGCCATAATATTGTTTGAATGTTATTTTTATTGGTTGACAATAAGATATTTTTGATGTGGTATTAGGTTTTAATCTGTTTCTTTAATCCTATATTATATCTTTATAATAGTTATCTTACCATTCAATAGCATGTGCCTATCAGTGAACACAATATTTGCAATGTGCTCCAAAAGTACTATTAGATTGAAGGTTTCCTCCAAGTTTCCGTGTAATTTCAACATCAGATGGAGAATTTTTCAACTGTTCACTATGCTGATTCATCAAAATGAACAACGGTATCATTTATTATCAAACTCCGTGTGGTAAAACCTAATTTGTAATCAAGATATTTATTGCCAGCATTAAATGCATTCCTGACAATTGTGTTTGTTATATTCGCAAATTTTCCAACTGTCACCAAAGGCATCAACGTCTTCAAGTCTATTCGACTAGCGCCGGTTATGTTTGTATTCTCAGACCAAAAATTGCTTGTAATAGATTAGACTCATTTGAGATTAAATTTAATGCTGTTAAGATTCATGGGAAATGCAAACAAACATCATCTAAAATTTGGTCTTCTATCCAAACTGCAGTGAATAAACATTATTATAAACTAGTAATACTATCAGTAAACAAATCTAATTGAGCTGTTATACATATTATAATTATCAATAATATAATTATAAAGTTATAATTTTTCCGTTGCACTTCCAGCCATTAGATAGAGGATTCCTTGAGATGTTACTTAATATTTTAGATGTATCTTTTAAAAAAATTTTTGCATTATAATTTCCTAGTTAATTCTTGTATAGTTTCTTTTATCCATGTTAATATTTGTCATCGCTTTCATAATTTACCCTATAATATTAAGCCATGAAATTATGCATTACTTTTCAACTTCACTTTTTGCTCCTGCGAATGCCTTTATTTATATTTTCAAAGCTAATTGTTTCATTGTAAGAAAGTTATTTGAAACTAATATGCTTTCAATTAAACGATCTAATTAATTCCATCATACACATTGCAAAATACGTCACTGTCAATAATTTCTAATTCTACGATATCATTAAGAACATCTTGTATATATTATGTATAATATAGTTGTTCTTTTATTGAAACATTCTACGATACTCTTTCGCCATTTATACCGAACACTTTGAAAGACTAACTTGTAATGCGCAATGAAATAAATACCTGACAAATTGTTCATTAGAATAATTGGCACATATATTAACGTGTTCATCGTAAACGCAGCATACTGCGTGTAGGGCAAATTTAGTGTAAACGAATAAAGCGCATCAGCATCTGTTCTATTTCATATAACCATATATTACTAAACTGCAATGTATTGACATTTTGTTAACGTATGCTATGTCTGCTATTTAATATGCTATGTAATATTTCCTTTAGTTCCCCGTATCTGAATTATTCTTGAATAAAACTGAATTAGGTTTCAAGTGCTGAATTCAACTGTGAAACTAATTTTATAATTGTTTGTTAATATATTTTACTCCATAATGTATAAAAATGCGGTTCAGTTGGAATATATACCAATTTTTCGTTTACTGGTTGATATGTTCATCGAAATCATTTCCAACCCTGCGCCATTTTCTCTTTTGGCCCAAAGAACCTGATCTAGTTTGATCATTTGATCTCTTTCAAAAGCTGTTCTATTCCCGGCTTTCCTTTTATGTTTAAGTTGCTGAGTTAGCGGGTCCCATGTCAGCATCATCGTATCTAATTGATCCTGTATCATCTTATTGTATATTCGTAATGCTGATTTTTCTTTTTCCAAATTTAGGATTTAATGTTTTTCTTATTACATCATCTTCAAGAAAAAGTTACATAAATATGTTCTGGTATATAATAAAAATCTTTGATTTGCTATCTTCTATATCACTGTAAAGGGTCTCGCCACTGTGAAGTTTAGGTAGTGGGGGATTGATGTGGCGTGCTTCCAATATTTATTGTATTTATTGTTGAAGTCCCATACAGGCTCGATTTTGGTGGCCTTGTGATTAGAGCGTCCGCCTCAGATACGGGATGTCGCGGGTTCGAACCCCTGTTGAGTCGTACCAAAAGCTTTAAAAATGGTACTAACAGCTGCCTCGCTTGGCGCTCAGCAATAACAGGACTGGTAGGCCTGGTGTCAGGATAATGTGATTGGGTGGAACATCAAGCAATATGTCTGCGGCGTGATTCTCCAGTGCAAGATATCGTAGCGATGTGACTGAAAAATTGTTAAATCTACGTTTAAAATCTAAATCGCACACACACACACACTCTTATCTCCTAATTCATTTTCTTCCTCCCTTACTCCCTCCTAGTTCCTTCTTCTCCTCTTCTATTTCCTCCTCCCGACTGCTTTCCTCCTCCTCTACCTTCGATCCCTTTTTACGTCGCCTACACTGTGTCGACTCCGACTGCACTGACAGTCTTACTTCCGTCTCTTTCTCTCTCATAGAGACTCATGACTACTAATCTGCACTGGAAGTTTTGTCACCCGAAAAAAAGCTTCCTGTGGAAACACAAGGATGGTACAGTATTTTCTTCAGCGCTCACATCACACATTACGCACGGCCTATCATCAAATAAGACTATTAAATTTCACCGGTCACGCATTTATTCACACCAAAATAACGCCTGCATTCTTGTATGGTAAAAGACAACATAGTAACACAACATAATAAAAGTAAGGTATCAATTATTTATATACATACAACAATAATAAAATACGGTATTAATTATTCGTACACATTAAGCAATAAATTGATACACATCAGTACATGCTCATAATTTCATTACACAATATCACAATAAAAATCAGACGCATATCTTTACATCACAACTCATACGAATATTCAAATATTCATGCTCTGATATATTCATACATCTATTGCAACTAATCGTACATACTTTAATCATCTTCCTAAGCTCCAATTCAACCATAAATAACCTCTATCATAACGCATTACTAAAGGTAATATTTATACCTACCAGCGGGTTACAATGTTAATTCTGACAAACTAGCAATCTACATAATTCTCTAAACTCAAACTCATGTATCAAATACGCTTAAAAATAACACAAACTACAAGTTAATTCTACATATTAAAACAATCCCAGTAATTACGTATACATGCCGCAAATACTTACAATTATGACAACGTAATGTTTTGAAAAAATCAAGCAAATAGCTTAGTGACCTTGTCAAAGCTTTTCCATCTCTTACAATTCTGGTCCTAAGATTCCCGCCAAATTACGAGTGGATCCTCTCGGAGTATACTTAATTCTGATAACGGCAACATGTACGTCTCTTAATCTGTTCCGGTATACTGATAAATTTCTGAAAGTTGTCAGCTATAATTCGGATTTGAGATTAAATCCCCCTGGATGTCGTTGTGGAATTTCCCAATCAAATCTCAGTCAAAATTAGTTTGACAATGTCTTCCCGCTTATCTATCTACATGGCGGGTGAGAACACGCCCCGTTCAATCTGCGGACTTCCTTTTAATCCTTGGACCAATATTTTAACACCTGGCTGGTGACTTGCATGATAGATTAACACTGATTGCGGCAATGTTTACACATCAAACGCGATAATAGTCAAAGTATATAATATATTGATATCTGGACTGCGAAACGTGACATCCATCATCTCAGCTGCTTACTCTTATGTAGGAGTTGCGTCTTATAATGGTTGTAATAATTGTGGACGGACAAGGAGTATGGAATGAGTATGCCACTTTCTGTTATTTCTTTTAACATTTTTGTGACTTGCCTAACAATTATCATAACTGATTATTCTACTTCTTTTGCAATTCCTCATTAAAAGTTTTGTTTGCCTAATTCTTTCTTATAAAATATTTGATTTTTGTCAGTTTAATGCCCTCTTTATGTTTTGGCATACTTATAAACTTTATTGTCCTCATTGCCTATAGTTATAAATTACAGCAACATAATGCGACATAGCATTGTGTTGATCAGTAAATGTAAACAGTAACTTGGCGGTATCTTTCATGCGTGTTTATGATTGCTTCATCAGATTATAAAAACTATCAAGATATTGTGTTGCTCCTTTTCATATATAGATGATAGAATGTTTGTCAATATCATCTGAAAAATGTACTGAAATATTTTGATGCTACACTATTATGCAAGCCATTAAAGTACAATATATTTGGTGTTTCGAAGGAATATTTTGGCAGATTATCATAAAGCTATGTTAGCTGTGTGCTCTTAAAATTCTTAGTACGATTCAAAATAAAGTATTCTTTAATTAAATATATTTAAGTATTGTGAATGTTTATAACAATAAAAACGATTATTTTATTTGTATCATCACCAAATTGTTCTACAGGAACAACGTCTTCCACTAGTAAAGTAGTTGGAACTTTTTAGTCTTTCTTTTCTACGGTAACATATATATATAGTTCTTTAGTATGACATACTTTGTCCGGGTAGTCTTCATGGTTCATAACGTAAGTTCATCAAAATAAAGATATATAAGTTATAAGTTCATATTTCCCCCTTTCGAGGCCTCCAACGATGAGGTAATTACTCTCAGGCAACATCATTAAATAGTGTTGGTCCAATATTGCTTTTATTATCAATACCAAAATGTATTTTTCATTAGTTATGTACATGAAATGAGTCAGTGTTGATTTTCATAACCGTTTAGTTTGTAACACTCAAGATAACGTTCATATGGTTCCACACAATGCTCTGCAGATTTAGACTCTTTGATTTTATCAGAAATACACTTTAATGGTGTCTTTCCTATCAAAATAATGATTTAAGTTAACATAGATGAGTAATTGTGTCATAAACCTGTAATTATATTTAAGCTTGAGGGGTCACGTCAAACTTCAGACTAGAAATTATTTCAGTAGCAATAGCCGAAAATGGATATTGCACTCACAAAAACTGGGACAATGGGTATTCCGCATTCCCCGATCGCTGATAATATAAGCATCACAGTTACTGTAAAATACCATTTTTTAACCTGTAACTCAAACGATAAATAGATTATTAAGCGTAACAAGAAATGACACAACTGATCTACATATGTGCTATTAGCTAACAATTTTCTATTATTTTTGAAAAGTAAATTCCAAATCATATAATGATCTTTTAAAAAGACATCAAATTCAGATTTTAATTTCACTAGTTTAACTGTAACTTGTTAAAGAAGATTCTTGTAAAACATTCCAAATATTGCCAAAATTTGAAATCTCTTCCATGATAGTCAAACCAATACATCCAAAAAAAATAATTTGTGGAATAAAGTTCTGGACTTTCTAATTAAGATAACTATATTGTATATTTTCAAGGTAATTATTGAATATTTGAATATCCCTGGTCCAGATTTTAAACAACAGGAAGTCAGCCGCAACTTGGAATCATCATTCTTTATAACATCTGACCCAGATCTGGTAACCACTTCTGCCGCATAAAATTATATTTTGAAAACCTTTCAAACTGAAAAAATGATGGCGCCAATGTTTTTATTTCATATTTACATTTTATTTCACATCAGTGTGATTTTTATTTTGCCTTTGCGATTAAAATATACCCAATCATCAATTAATGAAATAAAATATAATGCTATTAAATTTCATTTTTGAATTAATTAATATTGTTACATTCTGGAAATAGAGTTTCAGCATAATCTATCCCTTTATGCAAAATAACTAAATATCTAATTTGACCCAGTTAAACATAGATTCTCAAACAACATTTTCCGTAACACGAACAGGAACTACTGTATTTACAATGGCAGTAGTTTTCCCGCCTACTTTTAATTATAATATTTAACGAATCTTTTTTCAAACGTTAATGTTGTAATACCAACTACAGCTATATGAGTTGGATTTTTATGCATAATATCATAAATTTTCTCTTTACCCAGTGCCATTTCTATTTAATTTTCATCAGTGGAAATGTTGGCTATTTTTTATTTCCAGGTTAATATCATCCATAGGTTTATAACTTCACGTGACTTTATATCCTTCCATATTTAATAAACTCAACACTGAATCTCCATTTTCCACGAAAGAAGTTTCTGTGTTGAATGAGTGCGGCATCCAGAGCTGATGCATGATTCGGAGTAATTCACATCTGTTATCCTTCTTGACATCATATTGAAAATTGATGTAATTTCAAAAGTCCCAAATTGGACTCTAATGCAGCCAGGCTCATATCGCCAACCCATCACAAGAGTGGATTGTAATAGGCCTTTATCTTGGTAAATAGGATTTTGATCGTATTCAAGCTTTACCTCTTTCACAGACCGAAATATCAGAGTAACGTTTATGTCTCCCATCACTGTATACCTGCTATTCAAGAAATAAATATCATATAATTTTTTTTGATCATCTATTGGAACTGTCTTTCAATAAAACTTGTTATATGAGTATTAATAGTTTTATGTATGTACTTTTTAATGAACCAGTCGCCACAGCCACTAGGTTGCCCAAATTGTATAAAAACACTCTTTTATTCATATTTAGATCTTGTAACATTTCAGGTGATTACAGCTGTAACTCAATCCCTTGATTATTGTAGTCATCTATTTCATTTTTAAATTTTTATAATTTTATTTCTTGTTGCAAATTTACTAGCATTAATTCAACGCAACAACGCTGTCATTAGCTGCTAGTGTTCCAAAATTAGCAAAGATCTTTATTAGATATACTATACAATATGCACATTGCTGATATTGTCAACATGGCATAGTTGATTTTTATGTTATTCCACAGGAAAGGGTATTTATTTTTAGTTCGATTTGTTTTATTGTAGGCATCCTTTTTATAATGCTCGAAGACTTAAAAAAAAACAACATATAATCAAATTTAATTGTTCTCTTTTGATCCGGAAAATGATTTTTACTACATCAACCGCAATGTAAACATTTTTCTAATTTCTATCTTGTTTTCTGGTTTAGAGTGATACCGTTCATAATTTTATAATCATCTAATAAATTATTGTATGATATTTATTATTATATTTTTGTTGTGTCTTAATCATATATTTGCCCAGGGGTCGATAAACATATCATATTAAAGTCTTCT